GCGTGGTGCGTAGGGCTTCGGGCGCGCTTCGAGCCGATCGCGGCTTCTATTTCGGCGCGTCAGAAACTGCGCACTTGGCGGCAGCTCGGATCGGTCCAAGACTATACGAGCGGTTTTCTCGCATTATGCGAGCAGGTCGGCTACATGCACGAAGCGGAGCGGGTGGACCGTTACGTCGGAGGGCTGAAGCCGGAAATCTCGCAGGAAATCATGCTACGCGGGCTCTCGAACTTCAACGAGATTCTCGCGCTCGCCGAGAAAATCGACATTTTGCGCCGACCGAGACCGGGGTCCTACTACGGACATCGTCCTCGGGGATCGATCGAGCACGCCACCGTACACGCCGTTGCGACGAATGCAGCTGCCGCGCCGTTTAAGGGGCGCTGCTTTGCTTGCAACAGGCCGGGCCATCGCAAGAGTGAGTGCCCAGAGGAGCTGAGGCGCCGCGGAGCAGAGCAGGGGGGGAGTCTCAGAGACAGGGAAACGCCAGCAGTCAGTAGAAATTGGGCCAACTACTGACGAGACTGCCTGCTCGCCCAACCGCACCGACCCTCACCGAGTCACAGTACCGATTCACGCCATCGATCGGGCTCGGATGAATAAGGAGGGTACAGCGACGGATTGCCCAATACTGATCTACGGGAAAATACAGGGAGCAGCAGTGAAGATTTTTATCGACGGAGGAGCAAGCCATAGCTTAGTTAATACTGCAACCGCACGGAAACTGCAACTGACACTCAGCCGATGCTTACCTGAGGTAGACGCACGCTTAGTCGACGGCACGCCGCTGGCCATACGGGAAAAGGTGGAGAGGGTAAAAGTTCGCTGCGGGGGGAACTTCGGGTTTACACAGGAAATGCTCGCGACGACACTGGATGGGCACGATATTTTACTAGGACGTGATTGGCTGCGACGGTATAACCCGCGAATCGACTGGACGGCAGGCAGCTGCACTGTGCGAAGTAGTGGAAACTGGGTCGAACTACCACGCTGGCAGTCGCCTGAGTCTTCAACGGTCCACGTCAACGCCATCACCATGAAACGGGCAGTCGCCGCTGGAGCTGACGTGTACGCAGTGGACATCGCAGTAGTGGGAGAAGCCGAGCAGCCGAGCGATTTTCAGAAACTGCTGGCAGCGGTACCGCCCGAACTACAGGAGCTGTTGAAACGGTACCCGGGGATATTTCCCGACGACTTACCAGCGGGACTGCCACCTCAGCGGGCGCAGGATCATAGGATAGAACTAGAACCGGGGGCACAGCCAACCGTACAGCGCCAGTTCAGACTGACACAACCAGAGCTCGACGAACTGAGGAAACAGTTAGATTACCTGTTAGAGAAGCAGTTTATCCGACCGAGTTCGTCACCGTTCGCCGCACCGATACTGTTCACACCGAAAAAAGACGGAGGGTTTCGCATGTGCATCGATTACCGAGCGCTCAACAGGGTTACAGTTAAATCGCGATATCCCATCCCCCGCGCCGACGAACTAATCGACCAACTGCGAACAGCACGGTTTTTTTTTTCGAAAATAGACCTACGGGGAGGTTACCACCAGATTCGGGTCGAACCATCGGACTGTACCAAGACAGCTTTTAGGACTAGATACGGGTCGTTCGAGTACACCGTAATGCCCTTCGGGCTGACCAACGCACCTGCGACATTTCAAATGACCATGAACGAGGCGTTTAGGCCGCTTTTAGATAAGTGCGTGATAGTCTACCTCGACGACATCCTCGTCTACAGTCGCGATAAGCAGCAGCATTTAGCGGACCTCGAAGCAGTGTTTAAGATTTTAGAGGAGCATAAGTTACTGACCAAGGGGTCTAAGTGCGAATTCTTTCAGGATAGGTTAGAGTTTCTGGGACACGTCATTTCGGAGGCTGGGGTTGAGATTGACCCACGGAAGCTGGATACGGTCAAGGCATGGCACCCCCCGACCAACATCACCGAGCTGCAGAGTTTTTTGGGGTTTGTTAATTACGTCCGTCGGTTCGTCCCCGACATGGCCCGCTTAACAGCCCCACTGACGGATTTGCTGCAGAAGGGGGTCGTTTTTACGTGGGGGGAGAAAGAGCAAGCTGCCTTCACTACCCTGAAAACTGTTCTCTGTTCACCCCCCGTCCTGCGCATTGCCGACCCACACCGCCCATTCGAAGTAGTTACAGACGCGAGCGACATCGCTATTGGAGCAGTACTGCTACAAGATTTCGGCAACGGCATACGAGTCACGAAAACTGCATCCGCCCGAGAAGAATTACCCGATACACGACCGCGAAATGCTCGCGATCGTGCACGCGTTCAAAGTGTGGCGCTGCTACCTGACCGGCGCAGACGTGACAGTACAGACAGACCACAAATCACTACAGTACCTTCGCGCACAGCCTCACCTCAACCCACGACAGATTCGCTGGCTCGATTTCCTCGAGTCCAATTCTCACTACACGGTCACCTACAAAAAGGGAGCATCCAACCTCGCAGACGCACTGACCCGCCCCACCGCCCACATCCACGCAATCCTACTCGCCCAGACCAGCCCACTGTTAACAGGACTATTTACCCACGGTTATCAAACAGTCCCTTTCTTCACCGGAGGAAACTCGCAGCAGTTCGCAACAGCACGAGGAGTCTATTACGTAAAAACCGGAACTGACCGCATTTGGGTACCAGGGTACACCCTGCTACGGGAATTACTGCTACAGGAGGCACACGACGGAGTTACCTCGGGACATTTTGGGGTAGAAAAAACACGGCAGCAGCTGCAGCGGTATTATTACTGGCCCGAGATGTTGACCGACGTACAGCGACACGTGGCATCGTGTCCCACTTGCCAGCTCATGAAATCGTCACGGAAGCGGCCGGCAGGACAGTTGCAACCGATACCACCCCCAGAGCGTGCGTGGCAGCAGGTGACGATGGACTTCGTCACGGGGTTACCGGCCGGAGCGAGTGGGAACGACGCGATCATGGTCGTCGTCGATCGACTGACGAAAATGGCGCATTTCGCAGCCTGCAAGAAATCGATCACAGCCGAAGAAACAGCCCGCCTCTTCATCGCCACCGTCGTACGACTGCACGGGATACCAGCAGCAATCATCAGCGATCGCGACACGAAATTTACCAGCAACTTCTGGCGAAACCTGTGGCAGCAGTTTGGCACGCGACTACAGTTCAGCTCATCATACCACCCCGAAACTGACGGACAGACAGAACGGACCAATCAGACCATGGAGCAACTCATCCGAGCCACGTGTGACGATCCAACCACCTGGGAACAGCAACTGCCACTCATCGAATTCGCCTACAACAATTCGCCATCCGCCACCACCCAACAGTCACCCTTTTACCTGAACTACGGACAAGACCCCACAGTACCCATGACCCCGAATCCCGACAACCCCGTTCCACGTGCACAACAGTTCGCCGAAATATTACAGGAAGCCCGGAGCCGATCAGCAGAAGCCATAAAAAAAAAAATCAAACGTCATCGCTAAGCGTAACGCCGACAGACACCGCCGCCCCGTCACTTACCAGCCCGACGACCTAGTTTTACTCGACACCCACAACCTCCGCCTACCCGTCACCCCGAAACTCCGCCCCCGATACTGTGGGCCATTTCGCATCAGCCACATGATCACACCTGTCACCGCCCACCTCCTCCCTGCTGACTGGTACGTCAGCCCTTCGTTCCACGTAAGCCTGCTCCGCCCATACGTGCCATCCACCAGCCAACTGCCTCGCAACCGCCCAGCCAGCATGACACGACCACCAACGGAGCCAATCATCGCGCCTGAGAAAATCCTAAGCCATCGAGTACGTGACCCACGGGGAGCCCGCAGAATCGAATTCCTGATCCGCTGGAAAGATCGCACGCCCACGGAGGACAACTGGGTTCCCCTGGACAGAATTGAGAATCACCCTGTCCTCACCGAGTACCTGCGAAGTCGCAATTTCCGGGATGTACACGCGCTCTCGTAAGGAGGACCTCCTTAGGGGGGGGGGTAGTGTAAGGAAAATCCCTTTTCCTTACTTCGCGTCCCTGCTCAGCGCATACAGCACTGTTCCCGCCAACAGCACCCAACAGTAATCCGTTACCACTCGCGACACTCGCCTCGGTACTGTTCCCGCCACTGTTCACGACGCGACCCAACCTCACGGCTCGGTTGGTAACCCGCGCTCCGGACCTTCGCCTCGACAATTCCCAACCACGGCGCTAGGCCCGTCGCGCACCCCATTTTCACACATTACCGTTACCACTGTAGTTTCGCTATATAATCCTTCGCTCATGCCTTCGCTCATTGTACTCTTGCTTCGATAGTGCAATCTTCGTTCGCTCCCTCAATTGCACTCGTAACAGCTGTAAAGAGAATGCTTTGGCACTCACACCGCAATATCGTGCTGAAACTCACTCAACCTATCTGGAGGAACTACCTTGTAAGTCGGGGAAGGGGTGAAACACGCAACGTCTGCGAGCGGCGCAACGCAGGGCACGTGTGAAGCGCTTATTGGGTCCCTGCTCTCGCTGGGGGTTCGTCGAGCGTTTCACGCAATTCGTTACAACTCAGTCGTCCACTCGTCGAAAACACACAGAAGAGTGTATTACCCAGAATTACCACAACATGGACATCCCTTGTTTGATTCTGAACAAAAGCCAAGCAAAAGAACTCAATCCTGTCTTCTGCCTTGTGCTACCAGCCCACACCCACTCACCCACCCTTCAACCTAACTCCACCCAGTGTAGTGCCCGCATAATATAAACCCTATGGTCATGCATGCCCCGACTTCTCCCTACTCTTCTGCCATCCGAACCCCCCACCTCGCCTCCCACACCCACTTCTTCTGCCATGCAGTGCACGCTACCGGTAGTTGGTGCAGCCATGCAATGCAAGAGTGTGGCAGGCCCGCATCACCGCCCCACCATCGCAACCTTTCTTCCCGTCTCATCCCCGGCTGTCAGCTTGACGTTGACCCCTCCCTCCCCTCCGGCCAGCCACCCATCCTCAATTCGCAGGGGGAGTTGCAAACGCCACTCGGCGCACCGACGCTTCACCACCATCCCCACCGGCCCCCTCCGCACCGCCCTCCCCTCCCCCACTCTCCTTCTTCCTCCCGCCCTTCCCCGACTTCCCCCCCTTCCTCCCGCCCTTCCTCCCACTCCGCCCTCCCCCCACATTCTCCCCGTGAATACTTGCAACAGTGGTCCGCAGCGCATCCCGGCCAAACGCCTCCATATCGACCACCATAGGCGCGGGCTCATAGTGCCGCAACCACGTGTCCTGGCTGGCCTTGATGGCCAGGATATAGTAAACCACCATGAGAACAGCGGAGAGAGCGGCGAGGACAGCCGCAGAGATGAACACGGCCTGGTTGACGGTGCTGCAGTACATGATGGTGTTGAGGTCGGTGGAGTACGGTACGGAGGAGATGTGGAACGAGTTCTCCACGGCCGCTGCGATCAGGAGCGCTTCGGATGCTAGAAAGAAGAGGCTGCGGGGGAGGGCGGAAGGAAGGGAGTACGGAGGTGTGGCAAGGGGGAGGGTGGGATGATGGGAAAAGGAGGGGGAGGGGGGGGAAGGGTGGGGGAAAGGGGGTAAGGGCACGAGATTGAGAGAGAAAAGAGAGGATGAGGAGGGAGGTAGGAGCAGTGGATGCATGCTGGGATGGGGAGTGATGAGTGATAGAAATGCACGCAAGTCACGTGGATGGAGATGGACGGGAAGCATGTGGAGGGCGAAGGAAAGGAGGGGCCAGCGGTGGGGAGAACGGGGAAGAAAAAGGGGAGGGTTCACGTTTGAGAGTTTCCAAAAGTGGTCCCCATCCAGGGTGCTGAGCATGCACACACAGGTAAGAGCACATGGGCAAGCTCATATGGATAAGGATGGCAGCATTTGTTTGTGTGTGTGGATGGCAAGCTCATGCACTTCCCCTTCCTCCCATCACCATCCCCCAAATACCCCAAATTATCCGCAACCTCCCTTGCTACCAGAGAACCCCCTTCTCCCCTCCCCCAATCGCCCTTCACCCCTCCCCTCCCCCAATCCCCTTTTCCCCCCTTCCCTTCCCCCTCTCCCCCTCTCCCCCCCATGGGACGGACATGTTGAGCAGCAGCAGGGCGAGCTGCAGGTGCGTGCGGCGGCCCACAGTGGGCGCCATCTCCCCGCGCCCCACGTGGCGCGTGAACAGCGGCCGCGCCCACGTGAACCCGCCCGTCAGCAGCGTGAACGCCTGCCGTGCGCAGCGGACGGCAGCAAGATGGGAGAAGGGGGGTGGGGCGGGAGGGGGTGTGTGGGGAGGGGAGGAAACGGGTGGGTGGGTGTGGGGGAGGGGAGAAGTGCGCAAGGGGTGAAAAGAGGCGTGTGGGCGTAGGGAAAGGAGAGTAAGCAGTGTTTGAAGAAAGGGATGGAATCGTTGGTTTGTTAGGCTGCGGACCGATCGTTTCACTGCAGCAGTGCGGCAAGGGTTACCGCGTACGTGCGCAGTGCAACGCAACGGAGCGGAAGGCGACGGGAAGGGACGGGAAAGGAAGGGAAGAAAGACAAAAGAAGGAAGGACTCGCCTCGGTGAAGAGCAGCACGAAGATGGCCGCAACGGCGAGCCACGTGGCGACCGAGGGAGGGTAGCTGCAGTACAGCGCTCCCCAGGGATTCGTGAGAATCGAATACGTCTGCCCGCGCGCGGGGCGAGGGGTAGTGCGGGGGTGCGGAGAGCGGGAAAGGGAGGGGGACGGGGGAGGGAAGAGCGGAGAGGAGGGGGACGGGAGAGGGGTTGTTCGATGAGCGATGGGTGTGAAGAGAAGTTGGTATGGTGCTGTGCGGTGGGATGCCGTGGAAGGGAGGTAACGGGGAGGAGGGAGAGATCGAAGGAAGGACGACTGTGAGAGGCAGACGGGAGGAGTCAATGGTGGTGCTGCGTGGAAGGACAATGTCGAACGGGAAGAGTGAACGATGGGCGATAGAGCCAATGCCGTCGACGGACAAATGAACGGACGGACGGACGGACGGACGGACGGACGGACGGACGGACGGACAGACAGACGGACGGATGACGGACGGACGGGCGAAAGGGCGGTCGGAGAGGCGGTTGAAATGGGAGGGAGAAAAGGTGAGGCTAGGGAACAAAGGAGAGAGGAAGAATGAAAGCGCCATCCAGCGGCACGTAGCCATGGCGATGGACAAAGTGAGCGACGGCCGCGGGCGAGGCCTCCCCATCAACGACCTAGTCGTAAAGCTCGAATCGTGATGAGAAAAAGAAAAGAAAGAAAGAAACAAAAAATGGCGCCGCGTAGATAAAGCTCGAAGTCGGCGGCACGCATCCCGCCATCCCTAACCTCCTTCATCAGGTCTGTTTAAAAATGCACTGGGCGCGCGTACCGATATCCGCGTGAACTGCGCCGCGAGGCTGAGCGCAAAGGCCGTGGTGCCGCCGAGGGCGATAATAGCGAGCGCGGCGCGGTGCATGTGCGGCTCCGACACGAACGGCACGTCCTCCATGACCACCACTGCCGAATCCTTGGGAATGCCGCCATCGCCGCCGCTGCTGACGTCCATCGTCATCTCGCTTCGCTACAAGCGTCGTACTAAGGACCGCTTATAAGGTGGACACGGTTGGGGTGGTTTGGTTCAGCAGGCAGTGAGAGTGATAGGCTTTGGAGCGTGTGGAATGGTCCTTTTTTTTTTGCGAATGTACGAATTCTTCAAGGGTTACTGTTCTCGCAAACTTTCGTCGTGACTACAGTACCAGCCGGACTGTGCTGGGCAATCTTTTGCAAAAAATAATAATGGAAATCTCCCAACACTCTTGGTTCGCGGCAGCCCACCACCACCATTTTTCACTGGATAGCCTTGCATCAAGGTTCGCATGGATATGGATAGAAAGAGGAAAAGGGAAAGAGGGAGAAGGAAAAAGGGAAAGAAAGACACCAGAAACAACTCAAACGCAACACCCATAAAAAGCCCCATAAAAATACTCCATAAAGAAAAAAACCCAACCAGGATCCCCTACCAGACGTCCCATCTCGCACCCCATTCCCCCTCGGCCCCCCCCCCCCCCCCCCCCAAGTCACATATGCACATCCACCATGTAGGGGGCCTCCACCCAAAGAGGCCCGCCCTCCACCTCGACATCGTCCCTCTCCCGATCCACCAAGTCCACATTCAACCCCCCCATGGAAGACGCCGCCCGAAGCAGGATGACACGAGCTTGCGCCCGTTGTAACGCCACTCCGATGAGCGCCTTCAGAGACCCCAAAAGGTAAGCCGAGAACGAAGTGTCATCCTCCCGACAAGCCCCCCGTGACACAGCTAGCCCCACGTGCGCGTCCCCCTGCTGTCGAAGCCACAGCCGGAAGCGACCGCCGAGACACCCCCACGTCTCCACTATCAAAGGGGTGAACTGCACGCCTCGGTTCCGTGCAAGAAGAGGCGCGTAATCCCCCGTTTTGTGACGCTCCCACTCCTTTGCCGCCACGCCTATAGACCGCCCGCACAGCCCTAGCAGAGATGGAGACAGTGATAGCGGGTCCGCGACACTAATCTCTAAAGCATGAGCCTCCCCAGCCATTGGTCGTCGCACCGCTACGTCAACCCGCTTCCCCGGCAGCACCGCACTATCCTCCATCGTCACCACCCCCCCTGACGCCTTAGCGATCTTTGCCACCGCAAACTTCACCTCATCATGCACCCGAGATGGACCGTGTTGGTGCTTGCATCTCAGCGCATGATGCGGGTCTGCTGGGTCATCATACGCTGTGCCACAAACACACCTCCCCGCCACTTGCAGCTGCTGGATTGGGAGACCAAGCCGTATAGCAGCAGCAATGCCCCACTCCGCTGCAGTGAATGTGAGATCTGAATGAGCCGGAACTGCCGAAACCCATGCACCAGCCCCCGGGCCCTAAAGGGATGTGAAACTGGCCAGGGTGGCATCGTCACGAGCCAAGCGGCGGGGTGCCTGGAGCTCCTCAACAGCCAACTGCCGCTGCCGCGCCTGGAAAAGCCGAAGAGGAGGGGCCGCCACACACAGGGGTAAGTCCGGCAGCTCCTGGCGTATAGTCGCGGGCAACTGCTCAATGGCCTTGGCAAACCACGGGTCAAGAAGCTCCGCCCCCGCCGAAGTGGTGAGGTACTCTGCGAACATCGCCTCCTCGCCCGCCACCCCCAAATGTGCAATATCCCGTGCGGCCTGCGCCCACCCACAAACATAGGAGAGCGGACTCAAAGAGGCCGCCGCCGGGATCCCAAACCCTCCGAGGCGCACATGGAGATGCAGCTGCATGCGTGCGCGCCTAGACCTGCCGGGGTCCTGCTCCCAAGTGCCAGGGGGGAAAAGCTGCTCAAAGCAATCCTCCAGACAGCTGTCCCACTCTCTAAAGGCCTCCACCACCTCCGGCCGCGGCAGCATAGTCCGGGCCAGGTACATCGGCCGTGCTGAAACTGCAATAGCGAGGAGATGCGAGGCCATCTGGGGGTGGTCGAGCAGGGGGAGCCACGGCAATGGCGCCTGCAACTCGCGAAGCCGCTTCCGTAATCGGGCCCCCTCCCAATCCTCCTCCCCAATAGGCACGCCCACCACAGTGAGACCCTCCTCCTCCCGCTGCCTGGGCAATCTTTTGATGGAAGGTGTTTGGTGGTATCGCATTGTCGCCTTCGTAGGGGTTTGACGCGGTTCTGCACGAATGAAAACCCACTCGACTATGAGTTTGCAATCTATATGAGTTGATGTTATGGGTTGTGAAAAAAGAGTGCGCAGGTAAACGAATAACGAGGCTGTGACTGAATGAACTGAGAATACAATGAAAGCAAAGACTAATGTAGGGCTAGCCTAGCTAGGAGGAAACCTCGGACGAGCGAGGTTGGGTGCAGGTTTGGCGATGGGAATGCCGAGGGCGACGCGAGGAGCCTCGGCAGTGTGGAAATCGCCCGAACGTGCGAACTCCGAAAATCGGGTTGTACGCGCAGCAGTCAACCCCGATAAGGAATTCGAGAAAATTCCTGACACCACCACCCCCCCCCCCCCCCCCCCCCCCCCCCCCCCCCCCCCCCCTTAAGAAAGGCGGTCAATATCCGAAACACGCCTGCGCGCCAAATAATCACCAACAATTGGCGAGGCGTCGAGCGAGGCGGAGGGCACCCACGTGTCGTCCTCACTGGTGCGATCAATCCAGCGGATCAAGAAATCCACGTGTCGGCCAGCAGCGTCAAGCCGGACCCGATGGGCGAGAATCTTCGAAGGGTCGAGAGTCGGCTCCGGGACAGGTCGAGCTGTCGGGGCAGCTTGCTGACGTGCGATGTCGGTCGTGGCTGGCACGAACTTGCGAAGGAGGCTGACGTGGAAGGCGTCATGAATTCGCCAGTCGTCCGGTAGCAACAGCTTCGCGGTAACAGTTGTCACCATCTTGATAATCTTGAACGGGCCGCAATATCGGGGCCGTAGTTTCGATGGGCCGGGCAGGTGCAGGCTCTTCGTGTCGAGGAGCACTAATTGCCCAGTAGTCAAGACGAGTTCCCGGCGTAGAAGGTCGGTGTATTTGCGGGAAGTAATATTCGCCTTGCGAATTGCGTCTGCTGCTTTCTCGCGGATGTGCTGAAGTTCCGTCACAAAAGTTTGTGAACGTGGGACCGGGTTGACGAGCGAAGTTGTCGTGGGTACCGTCGGATCCATCCCGTAATTCAGGAAGAACGGGGAGTGATTAGTCGTGCTCGATGGTGCGTTGTTGAAGGCAAACTCCAACATGGCGAGGGAATCTTCCCATCGTGCGGGGTCGGGGCAGTTTGTCCGTATCAGCTGCTCCATCGTCTGGTTGGTGCGCTCGGTTTGTCCGTCCGTCTGTGGGTGGTACGCCGATGAGAACTGTAGCTTCGTGCCGTACTGCGCCCATGTCTCCTTCCAAAATTTGGATGTAAACTTCGGGTCCCGGTCGGTGATGATCGCCGAAGGGATGCCGTGTAGTCGCACGACCGTTGAGATAAAGAGGCGCGCAGTTTCTTCGGCTGTGATTGTCGTTCGGCATGGTGCGAAGTGCGCCATTTTCGTGAAGCGATCGACGACGACGAGAACAGCGTCGTTGCCGGACGGCCCAGCTGGCATCCCCGTGACGAAATCCATTGTCACCTGTTGCCACGGTCTTTCGGGTGGCTCGAGGGGTTGCAGCAGCCCAGCTGGTCGCTGACGTGTCGATTTCATAGCTTGACACACCCTGCATGAGGACACATAACGCTGCACGTCGTTAGAAGAATCAGGCCAGTAATATTGACGGTGCAGTAATTTCTGGGTTTTATCAACCCTGAAGTGTCCGGAGTAGTTCGAACCGTGGACCTCCTGTATGAGGAGTTCACGCAGCAGCCGGTAAGCGGGGACCCAAATCCTGTCTGTGCCGGCTTTTAGGTTATAATCCCCCTTCTGCGTCGTGGCCTGCTGATGATTTCCTGTCGTGAAGAATGGGTCCGTAGTGTAGCCGTGGGTGAATAGTCCTGTAAGTAGCGGGTTCGAATGGGTTATCAGTACAGCAGCGGATTGTACGGTCGGTCTAGTCAGGGCGTCGGTGATGTTATTCGCCCCTTTCTTGTACGTGATGCGGTAGGTGAAGTGGCTCTCCATGTAATCCAGCCACCGATTTTGTCGCTGGTTGAGGTTCGGCTGAGCTCGCAGGTACTGTAGTAACTTGTGGTCCGTGCGCACAGTGACGTCGGCGCCCACCAGGTAGCATCGCCATAGTTTAAACGCGTGGATTATGGCGAGCATCTCCTTGTCGTGGATCGGGTAGTTGCGCTCGGCAGCTTGCAGCTTGCGTGATTCGTAGGCGATCGGCTGCAGCCCGTTCCCAAAATCCTGGAGAAGCACTGCTCCGATGGCGAAATCAGAAGCGTCGGTTACGACTTCGAACGGCTTCGATAGGTCGGCGATGCGCAGTATAGGAGGGGAAACGAGAAAATTCTTGAGCTCCTGGAAAGCCGCCTCTGCCTCCTCCCCCCACATGAAATTATTGTCCTTGTGCAGCAGGTCGGTCAGCGGGCCGGTTATCCCCGCCATATTCGGGATAAACCGCCGAACGTAATTCACGAACCCCAGAAAACTCTGAAGCTCCGGGACATTAGTCGGGGCCTTCCACTCCTGTATGGTTTTTATCTTCGCCGGGTCAATTTTGATGCCGTCGCGGGAGATGACGTGCCCTAAAAACTCCAACTCCTGCTTAAAAAACTCGCACTTAGAGCCCTTGGTGATGAGGCGGTTCTCCTGTAACCGTTTAAACACTGCGTCCAGGTCGCGGAGATGCTGCTCCCGTGTCTTGCTAAAAATAAGGATATCGTCCAAATAGACGATGACACATCGGTCTAGAAGATACCGAAAAACCCTGTTCATGGTCAGTTGAAATGTCGAAGGCGCGTTCGTGAGGCCGAAAGGCATCACCGTGAATTCGTAACTCCCGTAGCGTGTACGAAACGCGGTCTTGTGACAATCGTCGGCGAAGACCCGAATCTGATGGTAACCGCCACGTAAGTCGATTTTCGAGAAGTAGCGAGCGCCGCGAAGCTGATCGAGAAGGTCGTCGGTGCGTGGGATTGGGTAGCGAGACTTGATGGTCACCCGGTTCAACGCGCGATAATCGATGCACATGCGAAGCCCGCCGTCCTTCTTCGGAGTGAACAGGATCGGTGCCGCGAACGGGGAGGTGCTAGGCCGAATGAACCCTTTCTTTAACAGTGCGTCAATTTGTCGGCGTAGCTCCTCGAGTTCCGGCTGGGTCAACCGCCACTGTGTTCGAACAGTAGGTTGCGCGCCAGGTTCCAGCTAGATTTTATGGTCTTCGGGTCTTTCGGGTGGCAGCCCAGGTGGCAGATCGTCCGGGAAAATGTCGGGGTACTGTCGAATTAGCTCCTCTAAATCCGGAGGGACAGCTGCACACAGCTTCTCGATGTCCTTTCCGTCGGTGTCGACTGCCAACTCGCGCAAGCAGACGGCGAACAGCTGCGCACCCCTGTTGAAGTGGTGGGCGATGGTAATAGCTTTGACGCACGGGGCTTGAATGTAGTGTCGAAACAAGCTAGGCAGAAGTTAGGAACAGAAAGGGGGTTTGAACTAGCAGGCAGTTGAGAACAAATAGCAAACCCTAGATTGGGCTGTACTCGCAATAGAGTACCCCACTGCAGGCTAGACAATATAACATTCTGACACACCCCCATAGCCAAAGTGGGGTGTAATCAGCACAACAAGCAGTCACAATAGCAATAGTTCATAAAATTATGAGCAAAGGTAGAGGCAGTCACTGAGGGCAAGTGAGGAGGAGGAGGGCTAGCGAGAGGAGAGTAGATGGGAGGCGACGACTGAAGCTGCAGACACACGGGCAACAGACGGCTCTGGTGCAATGCTAGTGGCTACCGGGAGCAAGTGCCCCGGAATACAGGAGTAACTGGCTCTGCGTCTGATCAGCAGCGACAGGAGCAACGGACCCACGGGCGACAGGTGCAACCGGCTCTCTGAGCTACCGGTGGCTATCAGAACCCCGGAATACAGGCGCTGCGGACGACACGACGGCAACCTACACTCAATCTCCCCCAACAGTCCCACACCCCTCGACACACACCCCCTGCTGCGCCCCTAGCTCCACTCCCCCTTCACCCCCCTAGCACCACTCCTTCGGCTCCCCACACAACCACCCCCCTGAGCGGCAGCTGCAGCAGCGGGAGACGAAGGAGGAGGAGGAGGAGGGGACGGGGCACACAACCGGCACCCCCACAACCGCCACCCCCACACTCCCCACCCCCAAACCCTAAAACGGGCGGAACGGGGGAAGGAGCGCGGGGGACGGCGAGGGGAACGGCGCGACGGGGAATCGGGAGCCGCGCGCGGCTCCAGCTGGTCGACGCGTCTGTCGACGGGGCAGCGGGGGGTCGCGCGCGGCTCCCCAGGGCGGCGCGACGGGGTGGCGGGGCGACGCGACCACCGACGGGGCAGCGGGGGCAGCGCGCGGGTCCCCTAGGGCGACGCGACGGACAGGGCGGGGGCGCGCGCGGGTCCCCCACGGTAGGAAACCGCCGTGCGCCTCGGGGCGCACGGCGGGCAGAAAACCGCCGCGCGCCCCGAGGGCACGGCGGGATGAAAACCCTAAAAATTTTCGCAGTTGAGGAACAGAAAGGGGGTTTGAACTAGCAGGCAGTTGAGTATAAATAGCAAACCCTAGATTGGGCTGTACTCGCTATAGAGTACCCCACTGCACGCTAGACAATATAACATTCTGACATGTAGTCAGGTGTCCATGCAGGCAACTTAATTAGCCCCTCGTGCTTGCTGACGCAGCACGATCCCGTTGTCCAGTCGATGACGGGGTTGTGTCGTCGCAGCCAATCATGTCCCAGCAGTACGTCGCAGCCGTCCAGCGTCGTCGCGAGGAACTTCATGCTGAAGCCGAAATCTTCGCCGCACTCGATCCGCACCGTCCGCGTTTCTTCCGTTATCGCCAGAGGCGTCCCATCCACGAGGCGTGCGTCGATTTCGGGCAGACACCTGTCAAGTTGCATGTTGCATTTTTTTGCGCTCGCCAAGTTGAAGAGGCTATGGCTGGCCCCTCCATCGACGAACATTTTCAGATGATGTTTCCCCACCTTGCCAGCAACCGGCACAGGGTGATCCACATGATTATCCCCATTATTCGGCCGAGTGCGATCGATTGCATGAATCGGAACCACGACTCGGTGGGGATGGTGGTGTTCGGGCGACGGAGCATAGTCAGTAAAGGGCCCGTTACTTACTGACTTTTCCCATTTCCCTGCTCCTTCCTGTCGTCCCCTGTCAGCGGCATTTTCTCCCGGCAGTCTTTCTTGTAGTGACGCACCTTCCCACACCAAAAACACGGACCTCTAGGAGGTTGGTCGGGTGTATGGACGGCGTTGATCGTGGCCCAATGGGTCTGGCCACGAAAGCTTCTCCCATCCGTGGAAGCTGCTCTCGCGTACTGCATCAGCGCATCTATGGACTCCGCCAGCCGTACAGCTTCGAGAAATGATGTCGGGCGGCCCCTGCGAACCTCGTACTGTATCTCGTTTTTAAGTCCGCTTACGTATTTATCCAACCGCTCCGCTTCCGACATATCATCCACTTGGTCGGCGAGGCCCGTAAATGACGCTGTGTAGTCTTGGACATATGCCATCTGCGACCATGCACGCAGCTTCATGCGAGCTTGCTCCGAGGCGGATACGTGCTCGAAGCGATCTCGCAAGGCTGCGCCCCACTCCTTCCACGTGCGAATCTTGGTCACCCCGAAGATAGGTTCTGTCGTTTGATGAACCACTGTAGAGGTCCCGTCTGCCGCATGTGTCACACCTGTCGGCGTCCCTGTTTCCAAGGTTCGGCGCCACCATTCAAGCGCTGCCCCTTGAAGAAGCGAAACCGCGTAATTAATACGCGTGGCATCGTCGTTAACGCCGGCTGCCGTGAAGAAGACCTCGACACCGAACAGCCACCCCTTCACTGTAGTCGTTTTGTCCGTAGGATTAAACGGGGGCGGGTTGACGGGCTTGATCTTGATCGTCGTAACTGCAACTGGCGCTGCTGCCGCTCGCTACCTATCTTCTTCTTCGAAGTCATGTGTGAGCTCATCCAGCGGATTGCTCATCGCCTGACTGTTGTGTGACAATTGGAACGAGAATGAATGCATTGAGCAGCATGAGGAGTACAAGTACCAAACCCTAGAATGTTGTACCCCATATGAGCTACCCCACTACAGCCTACACAGACTATAGTGTATAAGTTTGACACACCCCCATAGGCAAAGTGGGGGAGAAGAAGGGGTCACAAGACCAGTCAAGCAAAGCAAGGCAAAGCAAGCTCAGGGTGGATCACAACGTCACCACACAGTCTGAGCACAAGTTCAAGGCCACAAGGCCAGTTCACATGCAAGGTCACATATATATAAAGCTAAACAGGCAGGTATATATATGTAACAGTACAAGCAAGGTCAAGAAGTAAGCAAGTGAGGCAAGGTAGGTACAAGACCTAACAGAGTGCAGAAGCGCTGATGATCACAAGGCGCGAGTGCCTTAGTGAAGATATCAGCAGTGTTGGCCTCAGAGGCCACGTAAGCAAGGCGCAGCTGACCACGCTGCTGCAGCTCACGAGTAAGAAAGTAGCGGAGAGCGATGTGCTTCGTTCTGTGCTCCAGTCTGTGCTCATGACACAAGGCCAGCATGGCCTTGTTGTCTACGTACAGAACTGGAGGAGAACGAGGCGGCTCTCCCAGGTCAGTCAGCAGGTAGGTGAGCCAGCGTAGCTCCTGTGCAGCCATGGCCCCTGCGTAGATCTCAGCCTCACAACTGGAGCCGAGAACAGAAGACGAGCGGGTAGACCGCCAAGAAACAGAGCCGGAACCAAGGCTGAAGGTGTAACCCTGTGACGACCGCTGCGTAGCCTGGTCGTCAGCCCAAGAAGCGTCTGCGTGACCAGTGAGGACCACTGAACTATGCCCTCCAAGCACAAGCCCCATGCCCGACGTACTGCACAAGTAGCGCAACACCCTCTTCGCTGCAGCCATGTGCTCTGGTCTGTGTCTCCCAGGAGCAACAAAGCGTGCCAGAATGCTAAGAGGGTATGCAAGGTCAGGTCGAGTGCAGGTCATCAGGTACATGAGGCGGCCGACAAGCTCTAGGTACGGGCCACTCGACTCTACGGACTCATCCGAAGGAAGAGCTGAGAGCGAGTGGCGCGTAGGCAGAGGAGTGGCCTGAGGCGAGGAGTACATGAAGCCGAAGCGCTGAAGGACCTGCTGCACCATATGTGACTGAGTCAGGGTAATGGTGCGCTGTGCTCTGTCCCTAGTGATCTGCAAGCCAAGGTAGCTGCGCAGTTCACCCAGGTCTGTGCACGTGTGTCTCTTCTGCAGCTCGGACTTCACGTAGGCAAGTCCAGCAGTGTCAGCTGTAGCAAAGACCAAGTCGTCGACGTACACGAGGATGTAGAACGGCGGCAAAGAAGTGTCGGTGCGCAGAAACAGCGACGGGTCGGCAGTAGAAGGAGCAAACCCAAGGGCCGCAAGTGTAGTCCTCAGTGTGTCGTGCCACTCACGAGGCGCCTGGCGGAGACCGTAGACTGGCCGCCGGAGGCTCCACTGGGTGCCAGGAGGAAACGTCCCAGTGAAGCCAGGTGGGCGGCGCAGCCAGATCTCCTCGTGAAGGCTGCCCTGCAAGAAAGCAGTGCTGAAGTCAAGAGAGTGCAGCTCGTAGTCTCGGTGAGCAGCTATGTGCAGCAGTACCCGAAGAGTGGTCATCTTCGGGGTGGGAGAGAAAGTCTGAAAGTAGTCAACTCCCTGCCGCTGACTGAAACCACGAGCCACGTAACGCGCCTTGAAGACAGGCGGAGAACCCGGCGGCCGCTTCACCCTGAAAATCCACATGCCACTGACGATGTTCGCCCCAGGCGGGGGAACCTCGTCAACGTAGGTGCCTGTGGACTTCCAGGAAGCCATCTCTGCGTCCATGGCTGCCTGCCACTGAGAGGAGTAGGGACCCTCTATCGCCTCCGCGTAAGAGCGCGGAGTCGGGATGTCAAGTGCATCCGGGTCTCCCTCAGGTGCAAGCAGCATGGACACGAGATGAGGTGAAACAGCAGCCAAGCACTGGAACTCCTCCTGCCTGTCCTCTAGGACGTCCGTGCCAAGAGCACACTCACCCCCGACGGACGGAGGACAGACAGACTCAGACTCAGCGACGAGACTGGTAGCGTAGTCTAGGCGACAGCGAGCAGCGAAGTCGACAAGCTCAGCAATTAGGGCAGACGCAGCAGTAGACTCAAAGGAAGGGTCAGTGACGACAGTAGCAAGGAGACGCGTGACAGTAGGACGCGCAGCACGAAGGGAGTCCGACTCCGGGTCAGGAAGCTCAGGAAGAGAGGACGCTGGAGGAGAGGGCAAAGGGGCACGCAGCGGAGCAGTGGAAGGACGCAGAGACATCCGGTGCGTGCCGGGGACAGGGGGAGGACGCTGACGCGAACCACGACCACTAGTGCGAGCAGCACGGACAGGCGACGCAGGGCGAGACGCAGGCTCACGACGCTCAGCAAGACCTCCAGTAGGACCAGTGTAGGGAGAAGGAGAAGGAAGCGGGGAAGGTGGCTGTAACTGTGACTCAGACTGGACAGGAGGCGGACACTCTAAGGCAGGAGCAGGACCAAGAGAGGACGGAAGACCAAGAACCTGCTCAAGGAGCGGAACGAAGTACGGCCGCGGCCGCGCAGCTCCACCAGTGCCTGCAGGAACAGCACCAGCGCCCCCAGCGGGAGCACCAGCACCAGGAAGACCCGCAACTCCAGCAGCTCCAACTCCAGCACCCCCAGCAGCACCAGCGCCAGGAGCACCCCCAGCGCCAACACCCCCAGTAGCTCCAGCTCCAGCCGGACCACCCGAAGACGCAGCAGCTCCAGCTCCAGGAGCTCCAGCAGCACCAACGCCAGTAGCACCAGCAGCACCAGCAGCACCAGCAGCACCAGCAGCACCAGCAGCTCCAGCAGCACCAGCAGCTCCAGCGCCAGCAACACCAGCAGCACCACCAGCTCCAGCAGGAGGAGCACTCGTAGGGTCAGCAGCTCCAGTACACTCGATACGAGCACCTCTGGGACCCTCGGCACCAGCACTCTCAGCAGCAGTAGAACCCCCAGCTCCTGCAGCACCACCAGCTCCAGCAGCACGTCGCCAGCGCCGGGCGAACCACTCACGCAGCTCCTGTGGAGAGAGCAGCTCCCACCGGGACGAAGCACCGGAGGAACCGCCAGGCTCAGCACCACCAGACGCCGGACGAGCAGGTCCAGCACTCTCAGGCTCCGCACTCCGAGACTCAGCACCCCCAGGCTCAGCACCCCCAGGCGCAGCACCCCCAGGCGCAGCACCCCCAGGCGCAGTACCCCCAGGCTCAGCACCCCCAGGCTCAGCACCCCCAGGCTCAGCACCCCCAGTCGCAGCACCCCCAGACCCAACACCCCCAGTCGTAGCACCCCCAGACCCAGCACCCCCAGGCTCAGCACCACCAGCAGTACCAGAGTCAACAGCTACCTCGACTGGCTCAACTGCATCTACCTGGGACACACCTGAGGGAGCAGGACCCTGAGGGGGGAGGGGGTCTACCGGAGGGGGGCCTGGTGTAAGGAAGAGCGGCGGGGGAGGGAGGGACGCAGTGCGGTAGGGGAAGAGACGGTAGTAGGGAACCGACTCGTCAAAGGTGACGTCCTGGGACGCGAAGACACGGCGCGAGGTGGGGTGGTAGAACTGCCAGCCTGGCGCGTCAGGGGGAAAGCCAAGGAAGACGCAGGGAACAGCACGAGAGGACAGCTTGTCCGCAGACAAGTCGCGGACAAACGCCCTAGATCCCCAGACCCGAAAACGCGACGCATCACCAACCTTCCCCGTCCACAGCAAAGCAGGGGAGGTCTCCGGCATGGAGACCCGGGGGTGAAGGTTGAGCTGATGCGCCGCGTACCGAACCGCAAACGGCCACAGAAAATGGGGAGCAGCCGCATGGATCATGGACGTACGAGCGACGTCCATGACCATGCCGATGCGGCGCTCAGCAATCCCATTCTGCTGCGGAGAGTCCGGAAGGGTGAAGGTCTGGCGGATGCCTCGTGTGCGACAGAAGGTCTGCAGAAGGTCAGAGGAGAACTCTCCGCCTCGGTCGGAGTGCAGACGCCGAACAGGAAAGTCGGAGCCGAAACTCTCCTGGAGCTGGAGACGAGCCGCGCGGATCCAGGCGATCAACACCTCAGTGACGTCACCCTTGCTGCGCAAGGGGAAGACTGCGGTGTAACGCGAGTAGTCGTCAACCACCAGCAGGAAGTAGCGCTCCTGACCCTGCCCACGGACGCGGGCTGGGCCCCACACGTCCATGTGAAGCGTCTGCAGCGGAGCCTCTGTCGGAGGAAACTCGGAGGAGTGAGGAGCAGCGCGCTGCCGCCCCTCGACGCAGGGAACGCAGGTGGGGGCAGGCCCCGGAGGAAGAGGAGGGAGGGACCGGGGGAGACCAGAAACAAGAAGACGGGAAGCCATGCCTCGAAGGCGAGGCAGGGAGGGGTGACCAAGACGGTGGTGCCAGAGGAGAGTCCGGTGAGACAGGAGACGACACGAGCAGGGGGCAGACTCAGGACCAGACCTGGACGCCGCAGCAAACACCTGACCCGACGCGGCTACCTGAGCAGACTCAGTGACTGGGGAAGACTCAGTAGTCAGTGTGTACAGGCTCGACCCTGGCCGACGAGCAAACGTGGCCAAGTGGCGGCCCGTGTCCGCACAAGTGCAGTGGGTCACCCGCTGACGCGCAGGGGTGAACTGGTCAACTCCTGCATCCTGGAGGTCAGCACCCGCCACCAAGTTCGTAGAGAACGAGGGGAGGTAGAGACCCGACAGGGAGCCAGACGGGACCGCTGGACACGGTAGGACAGTGGAGTAGTGAGCAAGGACAGGACCCCTAGAGGGGTCCGCTAGGGAGACCGCAACAGGCCGACTGAGCGGTGTGAGAGTGGTGCAGTCTCGAAAGAAGGAGCGGGAAGCACCCGAGTCAAGGGTGAAGGTGTGGGTGTCCGGGGGCGACGCAGCACCTGAGAGCGCAAACTCACTGGCACCTGGGGCAGCAGACGTACTGGCACCTAGAGCAGCAGCCTCACAAGTACCTAGCGCAGCAGCCTCTATGCCTGGGTCAGGCGGGAAACACCGGTAACAGTCACCCTCATCACTAATAGTCACAGCATACATGGCAGCAAGAATAGCATCACAGTCAAGATCATAGATTGCAACACCCGCCCTAGACAGCTCGCCCCCGCGAGGGATCTCCGTAGCGTCGGGGAACTGGTGGCGCCACGCGTCTGTCAGCCGACCGAAGCAGCGCTGGGTGGGGTGCGGGCCTCCACACTGCTCACCCGCCCGGTCGCCGGTACGGAGAACGTAGGTGCAGGGGCCAGCACCCCCACCCCGCTGACGAGCAGCGTACCACTCACGAAGCTGCTGGGGGGAAGGGGTCTCACGGGTACGCTGCTGCTGCTGCTGCTGGCGCGCACCACCACCGGAGCCACCCCTCTGCGCAGCGCCACCCCGACCAGCTCCGCCGCCTCCGCCGCTACCTCCTCCACTACCGCCACCTCCGCCACCTCCGCTCCCACCGCCACCGCCGCCTCCACCTCCACCTCCAGTCCCGCCACCGACGCCCCCACCCCCGCCACCACCCCCACCGCCACCCCCACCCCCTCCACCACCTCCACCTCCGCCTCCACCGCCCCCTCCAGCCCCTCCAGCACCCTTGCCCCCTTGCCCTTGCCAGGGCGGCGTCTCCCGCTAGGGGCAGACGCCGCAGTGACCGACTCAAGACCAACGAGGTCGGCTGCAGCAGCAGAGGCAACAGAGGGCAAGAGGGGAGAGGGGGAGCACCCCTCAAAGACAGGGGTACGAGGGTCACCACGAGAGGCACCTACTGCGACTATGCTCTTCTCTGCCGCGAGCAGGCGCTCCTCGAGGAGGTCAACGGTGAGGGTGGTGGGGCAAACAGAGACGAAGTGGTCCCTAACCGGGCGAAGGGTGTCAGGGAGCCGGGTGACTATGTAGTAGAGGGTGATGTACATGGGGGGGGGGGGGGTTCTTGGCGCAGAACTCAGCAGGAAGCGCAGCGCGGTAGCGAGTGTCACTAGTGCGAAGGTGCGTAATGAGGTCAGCGACAGTGGGAAAAGCGGCGAGGTCAGGGAAGAGGTACGGTAGGATAAGGCGGCTAAGCGCAGCAGTGGCAGGGGAAGAGTAGCACGCAACTACAGCGTCGTACAAGGTCTTAGCACTCTTGTACTGGCTAAAGTGCGCACGCTCAGAGGTCGGCAAGTGGCGGCGCACAGCAAGGCGGGCAGCAGCATCGCGTGTGGCCCACTGGGAGCGAACAGTGGGGTCAGCATCAGCAGCAGGGGCAGGGAGAGGCCGTCTGCTCTGTCGCTCAGTAGGAAAAGCTGCAGGTCATCTACCCAGACGTCAAAGTCAATGGCCCGACCCTCAGCGTCAAAAGTGAGGACACTGGGGGAAGCCATGACAGCAGTAGACTAGCAGTGAGAGCAGCAGGCTAGGGCAGAGCAGTGGTGGAGGCGCTGCTCTTACCGGGCAGGCGAGAAGGACCGAGGCGCGTCGGCAGGAACAGGGCCGGGACGGCAGGAACGGCGGCTCGGCGGCTCAGCGGCTCGGCAGCTCGTCGGCACCGGCGTCTCGGCGGCTCGGCAGCACGGCGGCAGTGGCGGCTCGACGGCTCGGCAACTCGGCGGCAACGACGGCTCGGCGGCTCGGCGGCTCGACGGCTCGGCGGCTCGGCGGCTCGGCGGCTCGGCGGCGGCGGCGTCTCGGCGGCGCGGCTGCTCGGCGGGGCCGCGAAGGGATGGCGAAGGGGCCGCAAAGGGCGGCGGTGGGGTCGCACGGGTGGGGCGACGGGGGGTCGCGGGCGGCTGCGACCACAGGAGTCGCGCGCGGCTGCGGCGACGGGAGGGCAGGCGGCCGCGGCGACGAGGTCGCAGGCGGCTGCGATTGCAGGGTCGCGGGCGGCGGCGACGGTAGGGTCGCGGGCGGCTGCGACAGCAGGGCCGCGGGCGGCGGCGACGGCAGGGTCGCGGGCGGCTGCAGCGGTAGGGTCGCAGGCGGCCGCGGCGACGAGGTCGCGGGCGGCGCGAAGGGCGACGAGGTCGCGACGGGCGGCGTCGGGGTCGCGGGCGGCTGTAACGACGCCGCGCAGGGCGACGCGAGGGTGGGGCTGCGGGGTCGCAACAGGGGGGCGCCGGGGCCAGCAGAGGCGGCGCCGGGGCCGGAAGCGCGGCGCAACGGGGCCGCTAAGGGAAGCGAGGGGAGGGGAGCGCGACTCGGGCAGGGGCGGAGCGCGCTCCGGGCAGGAAAAAAATCTTACGGTGGGCCCTAGGAACAGTTCCCACGAGGGAACCTGCTCTATACCATGTGACAATTGGAACGAGAATGAATGCACTGAGCAGCATGAGGAGTACAAGTACCAAACCCTAGAATGTTGTATCCCATATGAGCTACCCCACTACAGCCTACACAGACTATAGTGTATAAGTTTGACATGTTGCCCTCGCCTTCGTCCACAGGCGGCGCCTGACGCGCTTCACCTCGCGTCTGGCATAGCTCGGCGTTTTCCTCCTTCAGCGTTGTCACTTCCGCTTGTAGTGATTCCATGCCCCTCGCCATTTCTGCCACTTGCGCCATCAGCCGGTTAATAGCCTCCTGATCCATGTGCCTAGCACTACGTCTGGTGGGCAGTCGGGTACCCGTGGCCACCCGGCAAGTGAAAACACGAACTATCGGAGTCGGGCAGGATTGAATTAACAATCTCTGCAGCCAACCGTCGTATAGTCACTAAACCAACCACACCCTATGCCACCGGCGGGGTGAACTAGGAAAGTAGCTCTGATACCAGGTGTTATGGGTTGTGAAAAAAGAGTGCGCAGGTAAACGAATAACGAGGCTGTGACTGAATGAACTGAGAATACAATGAAAGCAAAGAATAATGTAGGGCTAGCCTAGCTAGGAGGAAACCTCGGACGAGCGAGGTTGGGTGCAGGTTTGGCGATGGGAATGCCGAGGGCGACGCGAGGAGCCTCGGCAGCGTTGAAATCGCCTGAACGTGCGAACTCCAAAAATCGGGTTGTACGCGCAGCAGTCAACCCCGATAAGGAATTCGAGAAAATTCCTGACAATTGATGAAGATAAATATTTAATACAACAACATAGTGCTTCAAAACAATCAGAGTGGTAAGATATAACCGAACGACTAGGCATCGGAGTGGTAAGATAGCTAAACAGAGTATCTTGAAAGAAGTGTAAAAGATGGTAAGATCTAGGTAAATTGAACCCAGCTATGCAGAAGTTGATGAAATGCATGATTCATATTGAAGCTGGCACTGTCGATCGCTTTGGCGGCTGGATTTTACTAGAATATCAACTATAGGCACATCACGCTGCATCGAAGAGTTCCAACCCGGGGAAACAGCATGCAGGCCAAAGCGCAGACGATAGAGGTCGTTGAGGCGCCGGAAGCAACGTGCCGCAGAGGGACCCAGTCGCCCACAGAAGGTGCCAGCTCTAAGACCAGTCTGAATATTGTACTTGCACAGGATGGCGTCATGGCAACCCGACACGCAGCTGGTAGGGCCACCACCACGTCTAGAACTCCACGAATCATCAGGGCCCCACTGTTCTCGAGAGGCTCACCGTTTCTGCTGCTACGACAGATGCTGTTGCTGCTGCTACTGCTGTTGCTGCTGCTCCTGTACCACCACACCCCAAGAGGCAGCACCTCCTCTAGCTGCACCGTTTAACCCTAGGCCGCCTCTAGTGTCAACCCCCCCAGGCTCGCTAGCGCCTACGCCTCCGCCACGACAAGGACCACAACCACCCTTGCGCCTGTAGCATCCGCCTGGTGGAGCAGCAGAAGCTGCAACTTAAGTAGTATAAATGATCTCTGCAATAAAGGCAAAAAAAAAAAAAGCAGAGTCAAGGAGCTGCGGAGGGGACCACATTGTTAATACAGGATTCAAGGGTTTTACCACCCTGTCACGATTAGTCCTTGTGAAATTTTGACCCTTGTTTTGCAGTTGTTGGTTCTTGCAGCACACCGCCTCGAGTTCGGTAATAGAAGCATTCTGACTTGAGTTTTTTTTCCTCAGCCATTCGAAAACTGGCTAAGTCCTTGCCACGGAGACACTCACACAAACACATGAACAAGTATCGGATGTGCTCGAAAACTGGCTAAAGCCTTTCCACAGAGACACCCACACATACACCAGAACAAGCATCGGATGTGCTCTAAATCTAGCTTAGTCCTTCCACGAAGACAATCACACAGATTGGACCCTCGTTTATTTTTCACCCTGCCATTCCAGGCTAGAAATTTCTCGACAACCTACCAATTCTAGGGTACGACGCGGCAGCCACACTGCAGTGGCGGTGTGATTTCGACCTGAAACTTTGATTTGACAGGTGGCCCAAAACGAATCAAGACCCCTGGGCACCCCTTTGGTGCATAGTGAAGAGTGTTGAGATAGTAGACAAAGCAAGAACAAAGTCGAGGGTTTAACCTAGACAAGGAAGAGTTGTCCAAGCAAAGGAGGGGTTGGACTATAGAATGAGGATTACAAATAAAAGAGAAGCATGCAAGGAATGGTACACCACCACACAGGACAACTATGGGACTACGCTACAGCTAGAACTACATGCACTTATACAAAATATATGCATATAATATATTCTGACACACCCCCTAAGTGCATATAGGAATAGCCATGTGCAGAGCACCCCCCGAAGTGGTACACCCTGCAGAGCGCAGCAGAAGAAGAGGCGAAGTGAGGAGGAGGAGGAGAAGGAGGAGGAGGAGGAGGAGGAGGAGGAGGAGGAGGAGGAGGAGGAGGAGGAGGAGGAGGAGGAGGAGGAGGAGGAGGAGGAGGAGGGACTGTGAGAGGAGAGGAGATTCGAGGCGACGAGTGAAGCCGCAGAGACACAGGCAACAGGTGCGGCGCGCACGGTGGCTACCGGAACAAGGGCCCCGGACTACAGGAGCAACTGGCTCCGCGCCTAAGACGAGCGGCAGGAGCAACGGACCCACGGGTGACTGGCGCAGCAGGCTCGCTGGGCTACTGGAGCAAGGGCCCCGGATTACTGGCGCTACTGACGTCACGACGGCTACCTCCGCCCAACCTCCCCCATCTGTCCCTCACCCCCTTCTACAACACTAGCGTCACTCCCTCGACTCCCCCCACACTCCCTGGCACCCCCTTAGCGCCACTCCCTCGACTCCGACACATCCACCCCCCTCGGCGTCAGCTGTAGCAGTGGGAGACGGAGGAGGAGGAGGAGCAGGGGACGGCTCACACACCCGCCACCCCTGTACCCGCCACCACCATAGCTGCACGCGCAGGAGGGAGAGGAAGGAGAAAGGGGGGGGGGGGGGGGGGGGGGGAGGGAAGCAGCTCTGCAGCGCACGGAGTCAAGGGGCGGGGCGCGGGTCCCTGGGGGCGCCGCGACGGGCGACGGGGGGGGCGGCGCGCGGGTCCCCGGGGGCGCCGCGACGGGCGACGGAGGGCGGCGTGCTAGTCCTCGGGGGCGCCACGACGAACGGCGGGGGGCGGCGCGCTGGTCCCCGGGGGCGCCACGACGAGCGACGGGGGGCTGCGCGCGGGTCCCTGGGGGCGCCGCGACGGACGACGGGGGGAGCGCGCGGGTCCCCGGGGGCGCTGCAACAGGCGACGAGGAGCGGCGTGCGGATCCCCGGGAGCGCCGCGACGGAGCATGAAACCGCCACGCGCCCCAAGCGCGTGGCGGGAAGAAAACCGCCACGCGCCCCGAGCACGTGGCGGGAAGAAAAAACGCCGCGCGCCACGGGGCGCGCGATAGATAGGACAGACGCGGAAGCATAGTAGGCAGGATCGATGTGCTCTAATACCATGTTGGGATAGAAGACATAGCTAGGACTAAGTCTAGGGTTTAACCTAGACAAGGAAGAGTTGTCCAAGCAGTACAAATAGAGGAGAAGCATGCAAGGAGCGGTGCACCACCACACAGGACAACTATGGGACTACAGCTAGAACCATATGCACTTATACAAGATATATATAAAATATATTCTGACAAGGAGGTCATCAGACGCACTAGCAAGGCGGTCAGGAATGTAAGAATCTCAGCCACTGGACCTTTGGGATAAAACAACTTGTTTCTGTAGTGGGTCAGTGCGTCAATAACACCCCAAGTGAATGCGCATGTAACCCCTCAGTAATCAGAGATCTCACTGTCAGAAAGAAGAGACTGGAATGATTGAACTATGAGTGAAAGCAGTACAAGTACCAAACCCTAGAATTGTGTACCCCCTATAGGCTAACCCACTGTAGCCTAAACAAACACAACATATATAATGTTTGACACACCCCCATAGGCAAAGTGGGGGAGAGCAAGGGGTCACAAGACCAGTCAAAGCAAAGCAAAACAAGCTCAGGGTGGATCTCAAGGATACCACACAAATTCCGAGCACAAGCAAGCGGTCACAAGACCAGTTCACATGCAGGTTGATAATATAACAAGAGATACAGTGATCACAACCTAGCAAGTGTAAACATGCAGGTATATATATAAAGATCACAGTACAAGCAGGGTCAAGAAGTAAGTAAGTGAGGTCCAGCAGGCACAAGGCCTAGAAGAGTACAGAAACGCTGATGGTCACAAGGCTGAAGCGCCTTGGTGAACACATCAGCAAGGTTGGCCTCAGTGGCCACGTAACGCAGACGAAGTTGACCACGCTGCTGCAGCTCTCGAGCAAGGAAGTACCGAAGGGCGATGTGCTTCGTTCTGTGCTCCAGTCTGTGCTCCTCACACAAGGCAATGGCAGCCTGGTTGTCGACGTACAGCACTGGAGGAGAACGAGGCCGCTCTCCCAAGTCGGTCAGCAGGTAGGTCAGCCAGCGAAGCTCCTGGGCAGCCATGGCTGTGGCGTAGATCTCAGCCTCACAACTGGAGCTGAGAACAGAAGAAGAGCGTGTAGAACGCCAAGAAACTGAGTCGGAGCCAAGGCTGAAGGTGTAACCCTGAGACGACCGCTGAGTAGCCTGGTCGTCCGCCCAAGAAGCGTCTGAGTGTCCAGTAAGTACAACTCGGTCTCGCCCTCCAAGCACTAGCCCCATGCCCGACGTACTGCACAAGTAGCGCAACACCCTCTTAGCGGCATCCATGTGCTCCTTCCTGTGACGGCCAGGAGCAACAAAGCGTGCAAGGATGCTAAGAGGGTATGCAAGGTCAGGTCGAGTGCAGGTCATCAGGTACATGAGGCAGCCCACAAGCTCTGGATACGGGCCACTCGGATCTACGGACTCATCCGAAGGCAGAGCTGAGAGCGAGTGACCGGTAGGCAGAGGAGTGGACTGAGGCGAGGAGTACGTGAAGCGGAAGCGCTGAAGGATCTGCTGCACCATGTGTGACTGAGTCAGGGTGATGGTGCGCCGTGCTCTGTCCCGGGTGATCCGCGAGCCAAG